GTTTCGGACCGGGAAAAATAAAATTAAAAGATCTTATACTATCTACGCAACCAGTTTTTATTGGATACTGCTCAGATGAAAAAAAGGGGTTATCCCTATTGGAAATGTGATGCGACTGCATGATAAAAAAACAAATGGAGATCTCACAAACCATCGACTAATATTGGAAATCAGGTGATCTCCTTCTGACGAATTAAATACTTTTCACAAAGCCTGGCAGTAGCAAGATTTCGATCCTTTCAAAAAAGGATACAATGCTGAAACTTTCGATACTTTAATGGCGTTACGAGCGCTATTCTCTTTAGCTGTCTCTTATTGTCGACCATCACTGACAAGAGTATCCTGACAGGGGCTTGCAATCGTGTCTTTGGTGGTGCTAGTCCACCTCTGAAACCGGAAATGGCTTTGTATCGTATATGATGTTTTGAAAGCGTTATGAGTACGACTTTCCCTGCTCTCGTTGCATGTGGTGAGCAAGACTGGAGGACGAAGAAGAAGAGGCCATGAGGTGGTCATATGATGATCTTGTATTTGGATATCAATAAATGAACTTTTGCAATGGCTTCGATCAATGCTGCCAGAATTCAAGGTTGAGGCCCAGGGAATGCGGATTGTCGATAGGTATAGACGCTGAGAGACATTACATAGAATAGACATACCAAAAAAGCACATAAAGATGTGCATGGCTAAAGAACACCTGACCAGAGATTCGTTTAATTCTCTCCTATTTTTAAGGTGTTTGTCACCTAACGAGTACTGGTTCAATACCAAGCAAAAGTTGGCAAATATTACTTTATTATTACTTGAAGTAATAGTTGGGCATTTATCAACGAGCCGCTTGATAGATATAAAAAGAGTTTTCACCGATTAATACACCCTGTGCTAAATCACATTCTCATCTACGATGACTGGCATTGTCCAATGTAAACAAAGATCCAGAAATCGATTCGAGTTTCGAAATCGCGCTTATCGATTCGTAACGCTTAGGTAGACTTTGTCTTTCTCGGAAACCAGGCCAATAGTTGAAAGTGGTGGTGGTGTTGATGGTGGTAAAAATGTCACATGAACGTGATAATGCATTCCGATCTGTTTCTCGGAGTTACACACGCCATGCTTGTGTGAACGCGTGTAAAATCACTGGGGCTTAAAAGCGTAAGAGATTCGACGAACGATAGGACTACTTCTTGGTTGGCCGACCTGAAAATATCAAGGCTGTGTATTGTGGCTGGAAATTAGGTGAGAATAATGTTACAGGATTATGAGTTTCCTATTCTCATATCAGCCATAGTAACTCTACCTATTTGATGAAGCACGGAGCGAAATTTCCGAGTATTATTTAATCTATTATTATTATTATTTGAACGATGAAATCAAGCTCCATTCTTTACTGTTATCAGTTTTTCTTCGACATAATCCCTTAGAGATTGCGACTGCCGGGATCGAATGTTTGGCCAAACTATGTGTTCCGGGTATAGTGAGTGAGGATCAGAAAGGAACAGGTTCAGGTAACTTACTGCTCGAATGGAACACCGATGAGGGAGACTCCATCGATACTCAGTATACGATCACCTACAGCCAGGAAACCCTCACGAGCAACTCGACCATTGGGCATGACGTGATGAACCTCCAGACCGGATTCACTGAGAAATATATAAATAGGTGAGGAAAAAAATGTGAATCAGAGTAATGCAGAATTTGATTTGTTTAAATGATGAATTCGTCCAGGAAATGAGACATGAGCTGAAAATGTGGGAAGCACTGAACAGCCATTTTGACCTGGTTTGGTCTCTTCGGCAGCAAAGTGACGAATCCATCAACTCAACTGGGAATCAAACCCGGGACCTCAGCGGTAGAATACAAGCATACCACTACCCACACGGTCACCTGAGGGCAGCTGATCAGATTTGTTCTCATTTTGAGCAAGAATGAGTAACGATCTGATCAGCTGCCCGGTGATCGAGTGGTTCATATGCTTGTAATCCTTCCCCGTGAGGTCCTGGTTTCGTTTCCCAGTTCGGTTGATTGATTCGTGCAATGGTGCTGATGAAATCACTTCCCGGTAGAAACAGCTGTCCAGTGCTTCCCAACTTTCCAGCTTACGCCTCAATTACACCATGATTTGTGATAAAAAATGTGTATACTAGCTAGCTTATCAATCAAGTGACTGTTTTCATCGTTGTGTGTTGTGCCCGGATAGTCGTCCTCTAACAGAAGTAATCGCTCTACACCGCCTCCGATGGCTGGGTCACGTATTGCGTATGTCTGCCCATCGACTACCTTTCCGTGCTCTCTTCGCACGTGCCGGGCAAAGCTGGAAGAAGCGGCGCGGCGGTCAGATCATGACATGGGCAAGAGGCATGTAGAAGCTGGCTTCAGCTTTGGCTTCGGTTGGTGCAGCCCGCCTTCCAGGTTGGGGCCCAAGGGATGAGGATTGTCGCTGGTTAGAGACGCTGAGAGATATGGCGCAGAATAGAAGTCAGTGGCGCGAATGCTGTACGATCTGTCTATCGAAATCCCGTGCCCCTTAAGAAAAACGAAACATCAAACAACAAAAAAAATTGAAAAAGGTGTACGGTGAAACACACAAAAAAAATTCTGTTATCTTGTATTTTCCCATGTTTAACTGTTTCAACCACTTTCGCTATGTTCTGTATCTCAATCCACTTATCCTCTTTGTCTGTTATTGTCGTTATCGTTGTTGCGTTGGCACCATGCTTGTTTTCAAGCCGGTAGTAAATATATATATATATATATATATATGTATATTCATCAGTAGTATGATAAGCGGAGAGCGATGAATACAACATTTCCGGATAGACAAGAAGAAAGTCCAGTAGATCGGTCTCCGATTTCTCATCTCGTCAAAATAAAAATAAGCACTCTCTCTGAAACTTTCGGGGGAAACTATGTGAGGTGTTTTGAACATTTCTTCCGTGGAAAAGTGATAAAACACACAATTCAATTACGGAGGCCAAATTCATATCCACAACCTCACTCAGCAGGAATGCATATGCGAGTATTTGTCCATTCTTTTTTCATTAGAGATCCCCCTTCCCCCCAACCTCGACATCTCTCATTTCCAATGTGTTCCAAGAAAGACGATAACTGGAAAAAGGGAACCACATGGATAGATACACAGGCAACCAAACAAGTTCCTCACAAACAGTCGATTTGGAAGAGAATCCTGGAGTGCATTGTCAAATCAAATGAATTTGATTGCAGCCTACACTAACACTATCAATCTATAGAAGTGGGTGACATACGTTCTCTCTCTTTCTCCCTCTCTCGGTTTTCCCAGGCAATCCGTAAGCTCTATATGCATCCTGACAATCCGTTGCCCGTGTGTCAGCGAGGAACACACACACAAAGGAAAAATGCGATACGGCAAGTGCGAGTACAGAGAAAAACCCTTTTCGGATTAATGAAAATCTCTTTTTATATTCTTTACAAAATTTCAAGTGCGAAATCGGTTAATGTACTAATGCAATGATAACGCCCCAGCAGATTGAGAAATGCATGAATGCAGTTGGGAGAGATAACCGTCGAAACGCCACCGGTGTGTCACATGCATGACACGTTTGCAAAAAGCCGTCAACCAGCCAAGATATTTAGAGAGAGAGAGTGAGAGAGAGAGAGAAAATCAGTTTGAGGCTTAGATTGTACATCGTACTATACTCACTCCTACAATTCAAAGTTAGAGAAACAGATAGATATAGATAGATATGATTGCGTAACATTACTGTCATTTAGATAGACTGTCAGAGAATAATCGAACACAATTTTGAGGCACAATAGTCTGGAATAGATAGATTAACCAAAATGCGGATTTCATTGCTTAAATTTTCTGAGTCGGAGGTGTGCAATTCCAGTACCTCATTTCCAGTGCACTTGAAAACGATAAAGGTTTTACAAAGTTGGGGAAAATTGTTCACCAGTATACCTGATAAAACCGGAAAAACACAGAGAACCCTCAAGGATTAAATAAATTTTTGTGTGAGTATAGTTTTCATTTCACTAATTTATGTGTGATACATTTCTAATTATTGCAACGTAGAGTAAGTTGATTTAAGTGTGATGAGACTAAGGGTTAGTGAGATAACCAAAGTGGTTTGTTTCACCATTAGACCGTTTACGATTGATCATACTGTTCCTCTGTGAGCTCCGATTTTAGCTGATCTTCAATGAAAGTAAGGTGCAAATAAAATACCTTTACAGGTTATATTGTCCCGAAATGAATCAATTTCTATCCATTGTAAAGACCAAACCGAAAACAGGATGTTCAGCTGCCCGGTGGTTGTTTGTGTTCTGGCTGCGAAATCTTGCGTCGGTTTATGGATTTGCACAACTGATGAGACTCAATCAGGCTGGAACATGTTTTCAATCTGCTTGTCATTTGCTCTGTATACGATATAATTGAATCTCACTCCTTCCCATACACTGAAAGAAACAAGTACTGATTGTGCCCGACAAACAAACATGAACGGTTAAAACACTTAGTTCCATCAGTTCGCCTCCAACCATCAACCAGGATAATAAAGAAAGTCCTACGTGACCAAACCGGTTGTTAGAAGCTTTGATAGCATCAGCCACGAACGGCTACTCCTGTGCAAGTGATTAGTTGAGCAATCATCGCACGCCTCATGTTTTCCGCCCGAAGACACGTGCCGTGCTACATGGATAGATGACTCAATTCTCGCACGGAACGAACAGGGCTGCCAAACGATAAATTTAGGTAGAGAATTTGAAACATTTCCACACACCAATTCACGTTGTCCCATGACTCAGCCACATGTGAACTCCCAGAATTTCCTGTTAACTCCAATCTCAATCTTTCTGCCGTGCTGAATGATGTTTGTTGTTTACGATCGGAAAGCTCTGAAACACAATGGCTACCCAGCAAAGTTCGTGCAACTGCATGGCGAAAAAGTTGAGCCCAAACCCTGGGAGATGATAGTACCGAAATGTGACGTCAACATTCAACTCTCTTTCAAAGGTGATGATGTAGGCCAACTTATACGAAGATGGCTGGTGGAGACTGTAGCTCGCACGTATTTTGATGCGAATCCGGTCGTTCGTTTCACCACAACCCAGATTCCGAATCCCTTGGTGAAATCACCGCTCCCTCTGTCCGCCAAATCGCATGTAATCTATGAATTTTAATGTGGGTGCGGAGCTACCTACGTGGGCAGAACAGAGAGGCAGCTACTTACGCGAGTGGCTGAACACATACCGGTATGGGTCGAACGCGAGCGGGTGAGATTGAGCGCTACACAAACAACCAGGCCATCAAGCTAGTCTCACAGAGCACCTGCGTCATCAATTGTTTGCCAGCTGCTGCAGACTGGCCACCAATCTGATCGTGGGTCTTCGTTTCTTAGTGTTTACACAACTCCGACTGAATGGCTGCTAAGATTTGCACAGGTCATAGCAATCAAGTACGGAAGCTTCTACTGTATCAGCAGAAGGAGGTCTACATCAGTTTGGCGTTGCCATGGTGACCACATAAGCAGAAGAATGAACTGAACTATGTTAGACTGTAATGACCTGTGATATATAAACTACTTTTTTCTTCTGCAGCAGGCACCAGATGAGATGTAGTGAAATGATTCCGGAATTAAACCATGCTCGCTTGCAATGTTGTGTTCTTTGTTCAAGTTCAGTTCGGAAATAAATTGTTTCAAAATGTACAAAAACGAGTCACGGAGTTCCATCATTGATTCTTCTGCGATAAAATCTGTTGGTGTACAGGCAACTGTGCCGTTTACCTTTACACAAAATTTGACACAGGTTGGATCCATTTTGATCTCAGTTGATGTACTGGTTTCCATTCACAGTATATTGTAGATCAGCTTCCTGCACATACTTCGTACTTAACACCGAACCCAAACGAGATATTAGTGGTACACTTTGTATCAGGAATGGTGGTACACAAATACCAAGTTTTGCTTCTCTCGGAAGAGCAGAGCTGTATGCTACCGAGCGCATCCCCAGGTCGCGGATAGGGGAACGGCC